TGTGTGTGTGTGTGTGTGTGTGTGTGTGTGTGAGTGTGTGTGTGTGTGTGTGTGTGGTGTGTGTGTGTGTGTGTGTGTGTTGTCTGTGTGTGTGTGCGTGTGGTGTGTGTGTGTGTGTGTTGTTGTGTGTGTGTGTGCGTGTGTGAGTGTGTGTGTGTGTTGTGTGTGTGTGTGTGTGTTAGTCTGTGTGTGTGTGTGTGTGTGTGTGTGTGTGTGTTAGTCTGTGTGTGTGTGGTGTGTGTGTGTGTGTGTGTTTGTGTGTGTGTGTGTGTGTGTGTGTGTGTGGTGTGTGTGTGTGTGTGTGTGTGTGTGTGTGTGTCTGTGTGTGGTGTGGTGTGTGTGTGTGTGTGTGTTAGTGTGTGTGTGTGTGTGTGTGTGTGGTGTGTGTGTGTTAGTCTGTGTGTGTGTGTGTGTGGTGTGTGTGTGTGTGTGTAGTCTGTGTGTGGTGTGTGTGTTAGTCTGTGTGTGTGTGTGGTGTGTGTGTAGTCTGTGTGTGTGTGTGTGTGTGTGGTGTGTGTGTGTGTGTGTGTGTGTGTGTGTGTGTGTGTGTGTGTGAGTGTGTGTGGTGTGTGTGTGTGTGTGTGTGTGTGTGTGTGTGTGTGTGTTGTGTGTGTGTCTGTGTGTGTGTGCGTGTGTGTGTGTGTGTGTGTGTTAGTCTGTGTGTGTGTGTGTGTGTGTGTGTGTGTGTGTTAGTCTGTGTGTGTGTGTGTGTGTGGTGTGTGTGTGTGTGTTAGTCTGTGTGTGTGTGTGTGTGTTAGTGTGTGTGTGTGTGTGTGGTTTAGTCTGTGTGTGTGTGTGTGTGTGTGTGTGTGTGTGTGTCTGTTGTGTGTGTGTGTGGTGTGTGTGTGTGTGTGTGTGTGTGTGTGTGTGTGTGTGTGTGTGTGTGTGTGTGTGTGTGTGAACAAAGCGTCAGAGGGAATTCCCGGTATCTGTGTGCAGCACATTTGCGGCTCGAGTTATTCACTAATGAGCGTTAATGAGTCGACCCCGAGTCACACCAGATCCACGCCGGGACCCGAGAGAGCCAGCTGTGGTGGAAACACTGTGTGTGTGTGTGTGTGTGTGTGTGTGTGTGTGTGTGTGTGTGTGTGTGTGTGTGTAGAGGGATTTCATGAGTCTATTAACAGACATGTTTATCTCTGAGGATCAGTTTCACCAAGACAACAATCATCACTGTAACAGTTGTTGAATTCCAAAGAGCAACAAAACATTTAACCACGGAGAGAAGCCCGGACGCCGTTCAGACGCCGTTCAGACGCCGTTCAGACGCCGTTCAGACGTTGTGTTCACTCATAGAACGCCATTTGCACGATGAATTCAGAATTAAGTCTCTGTGATATGTGTCATCACAGTAATCTCTCGCTCTGTTCACGTCCAGGCCGCCACAAAGCTCCTGGATGAAATGTGTCACCTGACCGCTCAGGCTCTGGCGCCGATGGACACGTCGGAGCACTTCACCGTCCTGAAGCTCCTCGGCGAAGGCTCGTACGGCAAAGTCATGCTGGCGGTCCACAGGAAGCGAGGTAAGGAGAGGAAACACGTCAGGTATAAGGAAGCGAGGTAAGGAGAGGAAACACGTCCGGTATAAGGAAGCGAGGTAAGGAGAGGAAACACGTCAGGTATAAGGAAGCGATGTAAGGAGAGGAAACACTTCAGGTATAAGGAAAGGAGGTAAGGAGAGGAAACACGTCAGGTATAAGGAAGCGAGGTAAGGAGAGGAGGTAAGGAGAGGAAACACTTCAGGTATAAGGAAGCGAGGTAAGGAGAGGAAACACGTCAGGTATAAGGAAGCGAGGTAAGGAGAGGAAACACTTCAGGTATAAGGAAGCGAGGTAAGGAGAGGAAACACGTCAGGTATAAGGAAGCGAGGTAAGGAGAGGAGGTAAGGAGAGGAAACACTTCAGGTATAAGGAAGCGAGGTAAGGAGAGGAAACACGTCAGGTATAAGGAAGCGAGGTAAAGAGAGGAAACACGTCAGGTATAAGGAAGCGAGGTAAGGAGAGGAAACACGTCAGGTATAAGGAAGCGAGGTAAGGAGAGGAAACACGTCAGGTATAAGGAAGCGAGGTAAGGAGAGGAAACACTTCAGGTATAAGGAAGCGAGGTAAGGAGAGGAAACACGTCAGGTATAAGGAAGCGAGGTAAGGAGAGGAAACACTAAAACACGCAGGTCTCTGTCCCCCGTTTCCTGCAGGAACCCCGATGGCTCTGAAGTTCTTCCCTCGAGAGTCGACGTCTCTCTTCTCGTTCCTGAGGGAGTATAACCTCTCGTTGACCTTCTGCACTCACCCGTCTCTGACCCGGGCGCTGGGCATCGCCTACTCCACGCCGTCACACTACGTCTTCGCTCAGCAGGCGAGCCTCTTTGGAGATCTCTTCGACGTCATCTTGCCTGAGGTTTGTTTTGAACACCGGGCCTGGTGCTGCTCGTTAGGTTCTCGCAGGTCGACCTTCTGATCACGCTAACGCTCGCCGACCTCTCCCCCTCCTTCAGGTCGGGATGGAAGAGGACGTCTGTCAGCGCGTCGTGTCCCAGCTCTGCGGCGCTCTGTCCCACCTGCACTCTCTCGGCTTCGTCCACAGAGATCTCAAACCAGAGAACGTCTTCCTGTGTGACTCCGCCTGCCGCTGGGTCAAACTGGGAGACTTCGGCATGGTCAGTATTTAAAATACAAGCAGCTCAAAGTCAGATGACGGCGTCTCTGGAGACGTTTGGAGGAGAGTCGTTAGGATGGACCAAGTTTAGTGAGATTATCACTGATGGGAAAATGCAGCTGAAACATTTCCATTAGTTGGTTTCCATTGAAAACTGATACGGCACCAGGAGGGCCTGACTTAGCCGGTCAGAATAACGGGTACTGATCTGACGTAATTAGTGCTGGAAGTGAATCTGGACGTGCATCCTCTAAAGGAGGCCAAGAGCCAAGAGTAATTGTGCAACTTGCACTTTGAAAAAACAGGACTTTTTGTGCCTTTAATGTAGAGAGAGGACAGTGGATAGAGTTGGAAACCAGGGAGAGAGAGAGAGAGAGAGGAATGACCTGCGGGAAAGGAGCCACAGGCTGGATTCGAACCTGGGCCGCCCGCTTTAAAGATAAAGATAAAGATGAACTTTATTGATCCCCATGGGCACAGCAGCTCAAGAAACAGGAATATAATTATCAAAAATAACAAGAAGTTAAAAATCAAACATCAAACAGGCGCACACACTAACCACTACGCCACCAGCGCCCAAACATTTTGGTTTTTGATGCATCTCAAAGAGTTGCATTCAACAAACGCAACAAACACTCAGACAAACAGAATCAGAATCAGAATCAGAATCAGAATCAGAGTCAGAATCAGAATCAGAATCAGAATCAGAATCAGAGTCAGAATCAGAATCAGAATCAGAATCAGAATCAGAATCAGAGTCAGAGTCAGAATCAGAATCAGAGTCAGAGTCAGAGTCAGAGTCAGAATCAGAATCAGAGTCAGAATCAGAATCAGAATCAGAGTCAGAGTCAGAGTCAGAGTCAGAATCAGAATCAGAATCAGAATCAGAATCAGAGTCAGAGTCAGAATCAGAATCAGAATCAGAATCAGAGTCAGAATCAGAGTCAGAGTCAGAATCAGAATCAGAGTCAGAATCAGAGTCAGAGTCAGAGTCAGAATCAGAATCAGAGTCAGAGTCAGAATCAGAATCAGAATCAGAATCAGAGTCAGAATCAGAATCAGAATCAGAATCAGAGTCAGAGTCAGAATCAGAATCAGAATCAGAATCAGAGTCAGAGTCAGAGTCAGAATCAGAATCAGAATCAGAGTCAGAGTCAGAGTCAGAGTCAGAATCAGAATCAGAATCAGAATCAGAATCAGAATCAGAGTCAGAATCAGAATCAGAATCAGAATCAGAATCAGAATCAGAGTCAGAGTCAGAATCAGAATCAGAGTCAGAGTCAGAGTCAGAGTCAGAATCAGAATCAGAGTCAGAATCAGAATCAGAATCAGAGTCAGAGTCAGAGTCAGAGTCAGAATCAGAATCAGAATCAGAATCAGAATCAGAATCAGAGTCAGAGTCAGAATCAGAATCAGAGTCAGAGTCAGAATCAGAATCAGAATCAGAATCAGAGTCAGAGTCAGAGTCAGAATCAGAATCAGAATCAGAGTCAGAATCAGAGTCAGAGTCAGAATCAGAGTCAGAATCAGAATCAGAATCAGAATCAGAATCGGGGTACATTTATACATATTGTATTAGTATTGGTGCTAAAACAATTAACAAGGAAATAAAACAGAACTAACAACAACTTAAATAATACAGAATAAGAAGATATTACAATATATAAAATAGAATTTAAAAATGTCAAATATAAAAAATGATAAACAAAATGTACAAAAGGTGCCATGTAGGAGCACTTGTCCTACCAGACTGTGATGGAGGAGGAGAGGACGGACTCAGTGATAAGAATCATGACCTGTTCTACTCTACCCACCTGAACCAGGTGTTTCATGTTAACATTCAGGTGGAAAAGCACCAAGAGGGCGTAGGAACCGAGTCAGGAGAAAGGAAGATGAAGTTTTTTGTTTCTTTGTTGTGCTAAGCGGCTAAGCGGCTAACGCTCACTTGTTCTCCACCAGGTGAAGGCCAGAGGCACGAGGGTCCCGGAGGTCTGGTACAGCTCTCCTTATTGCCCCCCTGAGGCCGAGCTCGCTCGAGGGAACGAGGACAGCTGGAGTGCCGTGAATGATGGGAACGATGGCATTAAGAACGACGCAGAGACGACAAAGAGAAAGCGAGTGTGGGTGTCGGTGGCGCCCGGCGTGGACAGCTGGGCGCTCGGGATCCTGACCTACGCCATGCTCACCGGCAGCCATCCCTGGGCTGAAACAGCCAGCGACTGCCGCTCGTACCTGAAATATCAGGAATGGTTCGACAGAGCGAGAGGCCCCGATGACGAGCTGGATGTGTGGGCGGAGCCTCGTGATGAGCGTGCGCAGGATGTCGGGGATTTCATCGGGGCAGAACTTGGAAAGGAAGAGCGCCCGCCTGTCGCGCCCCAGTTTGCATGTTTCACCCCGCTCGCCTGCTCCTTCTTTCTGTCCCTGCTCGACCCGCGGCCTCAGCTCCGTGGTCGACCGGAGGACGGGCTGAGTTACCTCGGAGGGGATTGGCTGATGGAGAGGGAGAGGGCGAGGTTGGAGGAGGAGAGGAAGAAGAGCCGAGGAAAAGGAGCCATCAAGAACATGAAGGAGATGGAGGGGCGGGGCGAGCGATGAGGAGAACTCTTTTTGGTTTTTTCACAGGTGATACGATCGTTTAACGTAGCGGTAAGAATTTATCTACGATAATCAGAGAACGCTTTAGTGCGCTGAAAAACAAGATTCATGTTTCTGTATTTTAAATGTTATTAACCCGCACACTCGCTGATTCAATCACTTGGAAAAATCCCTTTTGATGAATGCAAAAAGCCCAAGAGAAACTGGTTTGGTGTTCTTTGTTTCCGGAGGTTAATAAGCTCTTTAAACTAAGTTATTGTTCTTTATTAAATATTTAAATATACGGGGCTAACTGTGTTTACTGGGATCTGAACGTGGTGGAAAACAGCTGCCACTCCGGGGATTATTTGAGTTTAGTCCGACTGTAATGCTTCCATGTCCTTGTAAAAGATACTGCACCTTCTTTAGCCCAATGCGTCTATATTAGGGTGTCGACTTTAGAGTGTATAAATCACAGCAGGTCTGAACTGCACGGACAGAAGAGGTGCAGTTATTCAAGCCATAAACACTTCTGCTAGCATGCTAAGGGGGGCGGGAGCGTCAACGCTCTTTATTTACTTCGTTTTCTGACAAGATATTAAAGACAGTGAATATAGAGATGAGACATGAGGACATCTTAAAGTTAATCATTATAAATGTTGCTCCTGTTTGGTAGCACTTGTGTAGCATTGTTCTGTAGCTCTGAAAACGTTAGCTTGAAGCTAGAAGCTTTAAGCTAACATAACATTTAACAATAGCAATATTTTCACAAATGAACTCCAGGAGGGCCGCCCGAGATCTTCCTCAGTCACTTGGTCTACACCAAGCGGTAACCTCCGATGTTGAAACATGAAGCCGATGCTGAGGTGTAAAATGTAAAATCCTGCAGTTCCTGGAGTGTCCACTAGAGGCTGGCTGCAGGAGCACAGGAAGTCACATACACACCCATTCTAAAAAGCCTGTTTTTACAGCAGAGATGAACATGTTTACAGCCTGGTTCAAAAAACCAAACAGGTGTGATTAGCTCATGTCTGGATGGACACACACTGTACGGGGGGTGAATGTTTTGATGACTCATCAGTTTTGATTTGATGAAGGATAAGAGTTATTCACAATAAGGCGTGTAGCTGACCTGATTGACAGGTGGGCGCGGTGTAACGGTTTGTCAGGAGGTTTAAAACCCGCCTCAGCTCCAGCTCTCAGCCTGTCGTTAGGTTGACTGAAAGTTACACTGAGACAGCATTTCCAGCATGGAGACCGCCATCGATGGGACTCCAGCACCCCCTACAGGATCAGAAGGGGGACGCTGTTTGCATTCAGACATTTTTGTGTGAAAGCTGCTCTCTGTGTCTGCTAAACTATTGTGTTTTATTTTATATAAAGTGACTGTTATCACATGTATTATATTAATTATATAAATGAAGGTTTGTTGTTTTAAAGCCTGTGTTATTGACTTATATCTTGTTTATAAAGGTGATTAAAAGACATTATATATTATTTGTTAAAGCCTCTTTTTGAACCTCTCTATCAGTCCGTGGTTTAGGTTTTTATTTTGTTGACCTTAAACAACTTTTTCACAATGATGTCCATGAAAGGTTCGACTCGCATGAAGCTCGACCATCTGGAGAGCTTACCCAGATGTTTTCAAAAATAGATCCACGGTCATAAATCCGACCCTACAACCTTTCAGCGCCGTGTACGTTATGAGCCCTGCAGCTCTGACTGCTCCGCCTCGCAGTTCAGCCGAGTCACACGCCAAACACACTCATGCCAATTAGGCCTGTCACCATTAAAGGTGACATATCCTCCTCTTCTTCTTCAGTGTAAATAAGTCTCAGAGCTCCTCAAAACATGTGAAGTTTATTGTTATAATCCACTCTGATCCTGTATTTGATCATGTCTATAAACCCCTCTATTTCAGCCCTGCTCAGAACAGGCTGTTTCTGTGTCTGTACCTTTAAATATGTAAATGAGCTGTGTCTGACCACGCCCCCTCTCTGGGAGGGCTTGGGTGTACTCTGTGCTTTCTCGCTCCATGTCCTATTGTTTACAGTGAGAAGGCAGACTCAGAGGGCAGAACAAACACCTAGCTGTGGGAGTGTCACCCACCTGGGGGAAGGGCTACTGCCCTTTGTGATGTCATGAAGGGAAAATCTCCAAACAACCTGTTTGAGCACACATTTTCTGAAAAGTGGAGCAGGCAGAAGACGGAGAGGATGGACTTTTCTCATCATTGGAGGGTTTGTAGACTAGAGACACATGTTAGAGTTAGAGAAACATGGAGAAGAGGATTTTAAATATGTGACCTTTAATAAATAGTTGATTAATTAACTATTGAAATCCAGCGATAAATAGTTAGAGTCGTTGGTTTTCTGTTCAGAACACTTTAAAATCAACGATGTAATCCTCAGGTTAACAAACACGTTTATTTAACTGCGTGCTGGCTCGTTTGTTCTTCCACAGTTTTCACTCGTTGTGTCTGTTTCTCGTCCAGAGACGGCGTCCAGGTCGGCGTCCAGGTCGGCCACTGTACGATGTGTTTGCCAGGGAACATTTGATCTTTGACACTCGTGTGGAAAAGAGAGAGTTAGCAGCGTGTGCAGAGTGAGAGGACGGTCAGGTCACAGAGAGAGAGAGAGAGAAGGAGGGAGCAGCAAGCAAGCGACACTGCAGAATGCTGACCCGCCGCCCGGTCTAATAAAAACACGAGGAGTCGTAAATAACAAGCTGAGGTGACAACAACAAAAATCAGCTGCGTGACAAATTCATTAAAGCTTATAAAAGAAGAAAAGTGCAGACGTCTGAGGATCACATGGAGAAATGTGCTGCGATCGTGGAGAGTGTCTTTAGTACAGCGCTGCGGTGCATAGGCCAGATGACCTGATCTCCATCACCATGACAACGCTGCAGGCTTCACATACACACACACATATCATGTTATCATGTTGAAGCAAAGGCAACATTATAAACCTATTTGTAGACAGCCTCACGTCTTTTATTCAAATCAACGTCTGCTTGTGAAACTCGTTCCACAACTCAAACACTCCTGCTCGTAAAACTCAAAACAACGCTGCTGCTTTTTATCCATTCCTGGAAAGTCTCCTTCAGGTCTGAAACGAACTCTGAGTGTTTGTAATCCTTCCTGTGCTTCTGCAGCCCCCCCTCTAGTGGACACTTGAGGAACAGACTCACGCCTGTCGAGGTGTGGGCTTTGGTTTCTCTGAAAACTTCAAAGTGAGAATCAATCATGAGAGACTCTAACCTTTGACCCCCCCCCCCCCCCCGACATCCATGTTTTTACACCCACAGCTGATTCTTGCTGATGTAAAAGTTGGGATAAAGAGATCATCTGTGAGCCGGAGGAATGACTCCAAACCCTTCGGTGCCAAGCTCATGAATTCACATGCTAGTTAAATGGAGACAGTTTGATTAGCATATCGTATGAAGGAAGTCCGAGGGGTCTCTGAGGGGGGGCGGGGGCAGACTGGCCGTTGGCCTGTGAACTATTGCGCTCCAGATTCCAGTCCTGACATTTAACCTGATACGTTTCATTAAAGCTATGTGTCTCCTGGAGGGAGCCAGCGAGTGTGACTGAGTGTGTGTTTGTGTTGCCAGAGCGTCATTGAGAAGGTGAGAAATTAAAGACGAGACGAGAGTACAGATCGTTGTTGTTAAGAAATAACTAAAACAATAAAATGATTTAAAAATTGAGCTTTAATCAGGTCCTCATGTTACTTCCTCCCTGTGTGTGAGTTTCCCTCCCTTTTTTTCCCTGTCACTCTGATGTGTCAGACCTGTCGCTGTGAAATGACTCTAAACCAACGTCACTGTGAATATACATATATATATATATATATATATATATATATATATATATATATATAATTTAATTTAAATGATCAACACACGCACACTTATTTATGTAAATACTGTAATTGACATCTTAATGACCCATCTGTCACATAACTGCATTTTACTCATCATGTTACTTCAGCATCTTTTGCACTATACTACATAAGAGAGCACAGTTCACTGAAGTTAAATTCCTTGTGTGTGTAAACATACCTGGTCAATAAATCAGATTCTGATTCTGATTTTTGATCGCCTTCACCTGTGTCCAATCACCAAGAGTCCATGTATTGTCCGTGTTCCTCCTCTTCCTGGTCAGTTTGTCGTCCTCTCTCTCTTTGTTACTGTATGCAGTTAATACATTGTTTCTACATATCTGTGTACATATTCTTTTCTGCATCTTAATTATGTTTTGTTTAGTTGTTTTTTATTTAGTGATATTTTAGTATTATTTATGTTGAGGCTTCAATTCAAAGGCTCGCTGAGTTTTCTGCCTCTTCCTGCACTGAAAGTTGTTAAATATGTTTTTTCCCTTACTGTGCAAATAAATAAATAAATACTGATACTACCTCTCGGTGTTTCCTCTCAACTTTCTTGAGATTTTCTCGTCGCTCTTCATTTTTCCTTTTTTACGTTGGACTTTATTTGTATCTTGGAAGAAGCTTCAGTGTTTATCCAGCTCTGCATGGGTCTGTAAACCTTTCTGTGTTCTAACCTCTCTCCATTTTTCAAAAGCATCTCCAATATTGATCCTAGTTTGAGCACGTTTCTGCTCGTGGAGCTTATTAGAAACATGCAGAGGCTTTTTAGGTCGGGTACAATCACTTCTATCTGAACCACTTCTCTTGACCGCTTCCATCACTGCAACACCTGTTGACCTGATAACTGCTCTCATATCTGACAAACCGAGGGGCATCCAAAACGGCCGTGTGGGGGGAGGGGGGCCTTAAAAGTGACTACCTTCTCTGGTCCAAACAAATCTCTGTGTCGTCATGTTGCCATGGAAACCAAAGTGAAGCAAACAACAACCCAGCGCCCTCACTATGCGAGTGTCTCACACTTTGATTCCTGCTGCCGTTGAAGCTTCAGGGAAGCGCGCCAACACACGCCCTCTGACCGAGACGCCGTCCGTGGGGCAGCTGCTCCGAATACTTCTCAACACAAACCAGATGAAACATTTACTCCTCCGTTTATTTTACGAAGTGCTGATGTATGTGAAAGTGATGCTGAGGCTAAAATTAGAGCGGTTGACATCAGTCCTCCAGGAGCGTGCTGGCAGACGGCGACCAGGAAACCAGAGCGCCCCGATGATACAGAGACGAGGCTGGATTAAAGAGCTTTTAAAACGTGTGTCAGCGTTAACGGTTGTTGATTCAGGAAGGAGGGATGAGAGTCAGAGAGAGATAAACGAGAGAAGAAGAAAAGCAGGTAGAAATGTTTTCACAGCTTGAGGATGGATTAACATGAATTAAGAAGTCGTCTGTGGTTCCAGGCGATGTTTCCGTCTGTCTTTGATGATCCCCCGCAGTCTTCTCTTTTTTTTGTCGTACTGCTGATCTCACATTTTGGCCAAACCAGTAAAAACTACTGGTGGAGTAGACCTCACACTGCTCTGTTAAAAACTACAATTCACTGATAATGGACTACAAAGACCACATCTATATGCTGCGTTCCAGTTGATCTCGGAAGTCGGTCTGAAACGTCATCAGGAACGCCCCCTGAAGTCAGAATCACGGCTTGGAAACTCTGTGGAGGTGTTTTCATGAAACTATCACGCAGTGTGTTGTTATCGTCTGGTGTTAGCTAACAAAACAAAGGTACTCCTGGAGGCGGCCATGTTGCTTTTCCGACTTACAACTGGAACGCAGTTAACTCGGGTGTGGCGTCATTCCCAGCTCTGAGTTCCGACCTCCGAGCTAATGTTAGCGCTCTTTAGTTAGCTCGTAGCTTTACATTGTTGTGTTAGCACGCTAATGTTAGCGCTCTTTAGTTAGCTCGTAGCTTTACATTGTTGTGTTAGCACGCTAATGTTAACGCTCTTTAGTTAGCTCGTAGCTTCACATTGTTGTGTTAGCATGCTAATGTTAGCGCTCTTTAGTTAGCTCGTAGCTTCACATTGTTGTGTTAGCATGCTAATGTTAGAGCTCTGTAGTTAGCGCTCTGTAGTTAGCTCGTAGCTTCGCATTGTTGTGTTAGCACACTAATGTTAGCGCTCTTTAGTTAGCGCTCTGTAGTTAGCTCGTAGCTCCACATTAACTGTGTCCTGCATTGTTGTGTTAGCATGCTAATGTTAGCACTCTTTAGTTAGCTCGTAGCTTCACATTGTTGTGTTAGCACACTAATGTTAGCGCTCTGTAGTTAGCGCTCTGTAGTTAGCTCGTAGCTCCACATTAACTGTGTCCTGCATTGTTGTGTTAGCATGCTAATGTTAGCACTCTTTAGTTAGCTCGTAGCTTCACATTGTTGTGTTAGCACACTAATGCTAGCGCTCTGTAGTTAGCGCTCTGTAGTTAGCTCGTAGCTCCACATTAACTGTGTCCTGCATTGTTGTGTTAGCATGCTAATGTTAGCACTCTTTAGTTAGCTCGTAGCTTCACATTGTTGTGTTAGCATGCTAATGTTAGCACTCTTTAGTTAGCTCGTAGCTTCGCATTGTTGTGTTAGCACGCTAATGTTAGCGCTCTGTAGTTAGCTCGTAGCTTCGCATTGTTGTGTTAGCACGCTAATGTTAGCGCTCTGTAGTTAGCTCGTAGCTTCGCATTGTTGTGTTAGCACGCTAATGTTAGCGCTCTGTAGTTAGCTCGTAGCTTCGCATTGTTGTGTTAGCACGCTAATGTTAGCGCTCTGTAGTTAGCTCGTAGCTTCGCATTGTTGTGTTAGCACGCTAATGTTAGCGCTCTGTAGTTAGCTCGTAGCTTCGCATTGTTGTGTTAGCACACTAATGTTAGCGCTCTGTAGTTAGCGCTCTGTAGTTAGCTCGTAGCTTCACATTGTTGTGTTAGCATGCTAATGTTAGCGCTCTTTAGTTAGCTCGTAGCTTCACATTGTTGTGTTAGCATGCTAATGTTAGCGCTCTTCAGTCAGCTCGTAGCTTCACATTGTTGTGTTAGCATGCTAATGTTAGCGCTCTTCAGTCAGCTCGTAGCTTCACATTGTTGTGTTAGCATGCTAATGTTAGCGCTCTTTAGTTAGCTCGTAGCTTCACATTGTTGTGTTAGCATGCTAATGTTAGCGCTCTTCAGTCAGCTCGTAGCTTCACATTGTTGTGTTAGCATGCTAATGTTAGCGCTCTTTAGTTAGCTCGTAGCTTCACATTGTTGTGTTAGCATGCTAATGTTAGCGCTCTTCAGTCAGCTCGTAGCTTCACATTGTTGTGTTAGCATGCTAATGTTAGCGCTCTTTAGTCAGCTCGTAGCTTCACATTGTTGTGTTAGCATGCTAATGTTAGCGCTCTTTAGTTAGCTCGTAGCTTCACATTGTTGTGTTAGCATGCTAATGTTAGCGCTCTTCAGTCAGCTCGTAGCTTCACATTGTTGTGTTAGCATGCTAATGTTAGCGCTCATTAGTTAGCTCGTAGCTTCACATTGTTGTGTTAGCATGCTAATGTTAGCGCTCTTTAGTTAGCTCGTAGCTTCACATTGTTGTGTTAGCATGCTAATGTTAGCGCTCTTTAGTTAGCTCGTAGCTTCACATTGTTGTGTTAGCATGCTAATGTTAGCGCTCTTTAGTCAGCTCGTAGCTTCACATTTCATGTAAACTGACACAGAATGAGCGTGATCTAAAAACTCTTACTAACATCCAAATAATCAGTGAGTATGTTCTTCTTCTTCTCTCTAGTTCTTGACTAAAACAGCTTTTATACACAAGGGGAGGAGCCTGCGCCTGACTCCTTCATGGGAGGAGGGGTTTGGAGGTGTGTCTCTGGAGGAGGGCGGAGGCTTCAGTATGGAGGAGGCGTGGCCTAACAGAAGTTTGTTTTGGTTTCATGGAGCTCGAGGGCGACCTCTACTGGATCAAACAGTCAAACATTCTTTCTTTAAATAAAAACTATTGGAATTCTAAAAGTGATTCGTCATGATTTAAAAGATGTTTTGGTGTGACGGTCACGATGAAACCTTCTGAAATGTTGTCAAAGAAAAGACGCAGACATGTCACTTCCTGTCAAAAGGATTTATTGCCTCTTTCTCAGAAATCAAAAGTGTTATTCGGCCGGTTTCACAGCCTGAAGGGAACGAGTGAGAAGACGTGTTTTAAACACTTCAGCACGCAAAGCGATGTAAACACAACACAGTTTCACAGACTCACAGTCCAGAGGGAGCGTTTACACGTCTCCGAGACGCCATCAGGATCCACAATCAGAACCTAAACTAACATTTCATCCGCTGCCATCAACACATTCATCACGTGGAATAAGACTTCCTGTTGTTCTCGCCGTTTGATTTCCTCGACGTGAGGACTTCAAAAAGAAAACATCTGATGTTCATGTCTGGAATACGTCACACGGCGATAAAGGCATCGGGGACGTTCTTTAAGGGTTTACATGATTTCAGTTTGAGACTCTGGGAGAAACAAACCATTTTAAGGTTTTCACTTCCTGGATTTTATTTTTACATCCAATAAATCTTTATCTTTATTAATTTTTGTTACCAATGGGCAGAGACATGCTAGCGGTTTCCCTTTTGTTTCTAGTCTTTATGCTAAGCTAACGAGCCGCCGGGGGAACAAACATCCACCCAGAGTTTCTCCTCCAGCCTCCTCGTGTTTATTCTGCAGAAAGTCAGAGTGAGCTGATGTGAGAACACAGCAGGATATAATCAGGAGAATTCACCTGGAGCCAGTGGGAGGGGCCAGTGGGAGGAGCCAGTGGGAGGGGGTGGTGACCTTTATTCCCTGTGATCGCTGCACGACCATAGACTGTCTGCACGCCACCTCTACCATCTCCGTGCTCTAATCAACCTGCTGCATGTTTCCTGTTCTCCAGGATGTTCTTCTCCTCTCTTCACTTCACTTTGAGATTCTCTTCAACTACACCTAGCATTGATACAAAGACACATTCTCATCATAGAGTCATATGGAGGACTCTGCTGCTTCCACATTGTTCTTTTTACATCAAGTCTTACCTCAGGAGACACCCCCCCCCCCCCCCAGTCAGCAGCAGTCCTCCAGATGTTATCTAGACATCATCAGGAGTGGATATATTTATGTTTAGTCCATGCACATCTGTGGCTGTTGCTGTTTTGAATTCACATTTTTAAGCACATTATCTTTGCACTTATTTGTATTTGTAGCAGTTTGCAGAGAAACATATTTTTAAGACGTATGGACGAGGCTGCGCTGCTCCACCATTCACAGAGTGCGGCTGTTCAAACCATCAGGTGAGCGATGTGTCAGAAAGTGTTCTCTAAGGTCAAACAGGTGAGCCAATAAAGAAAGAGTAAGTCTGTGTCAGTGCCAATTCAAGGATAAATTAAATATAAGGATGTTCTTCTTTGATATGCGTCTTACATTTCACAACATCAGGTTTTTGTTCCTGTGCTGTAGTACCCCACAGCGCCTGCAGAGGGAGCTGCTGCTGCATTAACAAACAGAGAGCAGATCAGAGCTGAAGCTCAGTGCAGACACACAGAACAGGAAGTCACACATTAGCCCTTAAACAGAACAGGAAGTGGCTCCTTCTCTCGGGATGAAGTCACGACGTGATGAGGCGTCTCTACAGCTCTGCGATGGGATTGGTTAGGAGTGAATCTGGGTGTGAAGCACAGGAAGCTACAGACACAGGAAGCAGTATGAGATGGAAGTCAAACACGATGTCACAGCCGCCGCCGACCAATCAAAACTGCATCCAGTTTCCCCCATCCTGTGGTCTCGATTGTGGTGGAACAGAACTGAAAAGAGAGACGCCAAGATTAGTGTTCATCGCTGTTTCTGATGACATCACAACTTCATTAAAGGAGAGGTTATTGTTTTGCTCATTCTGAAATTACTACAACGATAAAATGATGAACTGATCATAGAGAGCTGTCCTCCTTCTAAAGTTAGAAGGAGGACATACTGGCTGCTGCATTGTTGTCAGAGAAGCCAGCACTTCAACATAGCATGTTTCCTTAATGATCAGAGAGTAAGATACCTTTATCATCTCACTCTCTACACAGCTCACTGATTGGACCTTTAATGATCAGATAGTAAGATACCTTTATCATCTCACTCTCTACACAGCTCACTGATTGGACCTTTAATGATCAGATAGTAAGATACCTTTATCATCTCACTCTCCACACAGCTCACTGATTGGACCTGGATTTAAGCGTTTACCTGGCGGGTGCAGAGAATTCTCCCCAAAGATCCGAGCAGGCGTTGGACTGAACCACGGTGTTGGAGTTACTGCTGTCCAGCTCCAACAGGCAGCCTGTCACACACAAACACACATTCACAACGAGGACACACGAAGACACACGAGGATACACAGGACACACGAAGACACACGAGGACACACGAAGACACACAAGGACACACGAGGACACACGAAGACACACGAGGACACACAAGGACACACGAAGACACACGAGGACACACGAAGACACACGAGGACACACGAGGACACACGAGGACACACGAGGACACACGAAGACACACGAAGACACACGAGGACACACGAGGACACACGAGGACACACGAAGACACACGAGGACACACGAAGACACACGAAGACACACGAGGACACACGAGGACACACTTTACCTGCAGCTCTGAAACGTTCCACTCAGCTACAAGAAGCTCATTAACTGACGGGGGGGGGGGGGAAATGTCACCAATAAAAATCATCAAATAAAATGTAAAGGAGCCCGATCGTGACTTCAGCAGCTCCACCCAAGTTTCTCCTCCGCCATTGTTGTTACAAAGCTGATAGCAGAAGTCCTGCCCCCTCTTTATATTGGTTGATCAGGAGAAGTTACATGGACGAGCGAGGCGGTGATCCAAAGGTTAAACTATTTTGACCCTTTGTGCTCAGGACGCTGACCTTCACATCGTCCCCATCGAATAACAAATAAACAAATAACATTCAAACTAAATCTGACACACAAAAACAAGTCTGACTCTTACCGGTTGCCATTCCTCCTGTTTGGGAACTGTGTTGTGATTGGATGAGCCTGACAAAGGGGGAGGGGCTATCTTGCCTCCAGCGGTGGTGGGAGGAGTCCAAAGCCCCCTGAGCCTTGTGGCGGGTTTATCCTCTTTCTACCTTGCTAAAGCAAAAGACAGAAAAAAAATGATTTTCTTGAACGGTTTCATTTTAACATTTGACTTTTTCTCTCGTGGGATTTAGATTTAGATTTAGATTTAGATTTAGATTTAGATTTAAATTTAAATTTAGATTTAGATTTAGATTCAGATTCAGATTCAG